CAGAGGAAGACGCATACCTGCTTTAAACAGATACTCGCTCATCGCCACGCACCCAGGCCTCGGATAGCAAGTTCTCTCATGGGCCTCAGGTACTAACATCTCCACATAATGAGGTACACAGTACCTCTCCCTTATCTCTCCCAACCTCTTCTCTTTCATATTTGAAGGGACCCTAGACGTCCCCCACTCCACACTATAATCTATTGCCTCCTCGATTATAGCATACTGCTTAACCTCGGAGTCCCCCTGTATCTAGACCCCCGATCAAACGACGCGATAGTGACCAACTCCCTACCCCAGGTGGACTCCATTTCAGAAAACGACTAAGAACACAATACAAGGGATCATCTGTAAAAAATACCTGCGGGGTTACTACGCCGACGAAATGCTGTCGAAAAATCAGGGGACAAAGAGCTTCGACGCCGAAAAACTTTAGCTTTGGAAGAAAAAATTGGATTGCAAAGGGTAGAAAATCTAAGATAATGAAGGTCTCTCGCCTTTTATAAAGGGCCAGGACGAACCCCAACCGTCTGATCAAATCCATCCAATCTGAATCCTTCATTCTTAATCAAATCCGACGCATAGAATTCAAACGATTTTTCAAACCTACGCCTCAGATTAAAGCATGTCCCCCACGCACCTCCTCCAACGCGTCTGCTTCTAGAAACTCCAGCTGTTCTCATAATTACGATTTTAATTCGACGGCAACAGGCGCCTTGGAAGTTGTAACGGTTTAACCATTTTTCCTCGAAAATATGCGCAAAACATCAAATCATTGGCACAACTGCCGTGAAACAATTATTGTCAATGTGCCTCAGAATTCAGATATCAAGCCTCGTAGGTTTGGTTTCTCAACCACCTTGGCTTCTTCATCAAAATTCAGTCATCAAGCCTCACAGATTCGGTTTTTCAACCACCTCGACTTCTTCATCAAAATTCAACCGTCAAGCCTCACGAGTTCGGTTTCTCAACCACCTCGACTTCCTCATCAAAATTCAGCCATCAAGTCTCGCAGGTTCGGTTTCTCAACCACCTCCACTTCTTTATCAAAATTCAGCCATCAAGCCTAGCAGGTTCGATTTTCAACCACCTCGGCTTCATCATTCTCATCACTTCTTAGACAACAGCAAATCTCTAACTCCAGCCATAATATAAATATCTATACTTGGACTTGAGGGACTATTGTTACGTGTTCGCACACTTGGGCAACCCACCGGGGTCCACAGCCAACTCATGCCAAACCACGTGGCACTCAATCTGAGGTTATTTGCATAGCCGAGGCCCATTTATCCTTGCCTCGTGAAGAATTTCCGAAGCCCATATGCCGAGGCCCTTTAAAGGTGGACGAGGCCCTGTTTGTCGAAGCTCCTTAGCCAAGGTGACAGCATCCGAAGCACAAAGCAATATCTTCCATAGACACCTCTCCCAAAAGATCTTCTGCACAAAGATCTTACTTGAATGATTGATAGGACGTTTTTCATGAGTGTAAATGTTAAGTCTTGTCAATAGTAGAGGCGGCTCTGCTAATCAATAAATGTATAACAAGTTAGGTACGGCTGATCAACCTACAATTTGACATGTAAACTAACCTGATGAGGCCACGTGTACCCCGAACCAAAGGACAGGATCTAACTTATGACACTATAAATACTCCCCCATGTACCCCATACAAAGGCTAATGCAAGAATCAATACAAGAAACCATAATTTACTCAACTCTCTCTTTCTTATTATCTTGCAACACAAACGAGTCCTTACATATTTAGATACACATTTACAAACATCGATTAGTAATTATTGTACAATCGGTCTACGAACATCCCGCCAGATTATGAACATTCTCGTCCCGCGCCATTGAGCTACTCCCACGCCCTTGATCTATCCGTTCTAGACCGTCTACATGTCTATGCGTGTTGGACTTTCGCTTATGTGTGCGCAGGTGGGTCCGGTATCTGTTGACAACATTTATTGGGGTCAACAAATATCATGATTGACAGTCCTCTCACATGCAAGAGGTTGGTCCCACGATTAAAATAATCTCAGGCCCCACATTTGTGACAGTGCTGTACACAAAAAAATTTGCTAATGGTTTGTTTGTTTGTGGTCTTCTTTGCCTGTTTGAAATAATTAGGCCCTATCCTATAAATAACTTTTTGATTTGATGACCTTGGATGAGATATATATTGGTTATATATTTAAGTAATTAAACAATTCAAAATAATGGTAATTTCATTTTTTATTATTCTGTTATCATTTAAACGAGATATATGGAGTGAAAATTCATCATAATTCCAAATTTAGAGGAAGAAACTGCGTTGTTTATCGATTTTTTGTGGAGTTAATTGTTTTAATGGTCACTGAATTTAGGTCAATGTCATTAATTGGTCACTAAAGTTTAAAATATCGAGTTTTGGTCACTGAACTTAGATCAATGTCTTCGATTGCTAATTGAACTTAAGTCCATGTCTTAGATTGCTGACTGAAATTTAAAATGTCGAATTTTGATTACTGAACTTTAGAATATGTCGTACATTACTCACTAGCATAACTGTTGAACTTTGAAAAATATCGAGTTTACAGTGAGTAATGTACAGCATTTTTCAAAGTTTAGTAAGTAATGTACAACATTTTTTAAAGTTCAGAAACCAAAACTCGATATTTTAAATTTCAGTGAGTAATTGAAGATATTGACCTAAGTTCAGTGATCAAAATTCGACATTTTAAACTTCGGTGATCAATCAAAGACATAGACCTAAGTTCAGGATCATTGGAACCAGGGGCGGACCCAGACCATTTGAACTGTGGGGTCAAAAAAAAAATTTTCGAACGTATCATGAAAAAAAAGGAAAAATCGGTTGTTTACTGTTCATATTCGATATGTGCACTTTGGGAAGAAATCGTTGGATTATATGATATATTTATGGACTAAATAATGGATATGGACCATGTGATATGGATATAGATTTAGAATTTGGACTTTTTGAGGCAGAAAATTAAGTTTTCAGCACAAAAAAAAAAAAAAAAAAAAAAACTGTGGGGTCATTTGACCCCATGTGGGTCCGCCCGTGATTGGAACAATTAACTCATCTTTTGTGCCATATCTGATATCCCACAAGATTTTGAGAATTTCAAAACCATTCTTTCCATCTTCATCCACTTTTCTCGTCCTAAGAGAGTATGTTGAAATTCATCCATCTTGTACGATTCAAGACTTTTGTTTACAATGCACGTGGTTCAATAAAATGTTTCTTTTCGCCGTAGATGTTTGCTTGGATTTAAGATTTTAGTCGTGATCTTATTAGTGCATTGTGACTTTATGTGTGTGACGAACAATTTTAATGTAAAATCGAAAAGCTTGCTAAACAAGTTGAAAATCGACTTGTCGTGACCGTGACTTTTGTTAGTGGTTTGTGAATACATGTGCTGAAACGTTGCGTCAAAGGTCACAATTTTAATTATGATGAGAGACGATAACGAATTAGCAAAATTATAGAGAAATGATTATAACTAATTTGCAACATTGCCTATGTTAACCACAAAGGTGCGAGCATAACATGGCATGTTTTACGCCTCTAATTATTTCCCATTGAATTAAATAATGTCTTAGAGTTTACATAATAATTATCACAAAATATAAATGTACTAAAGCTATCATTAATCATGCTGTAGACAAGCTATCTTGCTCAAAAGATAATGTGTGGGATAAGCATTTTCAAATAGCATTACACATTATCCTAACATAAAAAGTGAATTAATAATAAGAAAAAGCTGTTTGCTCATGGCATTAACTTAACTTTGTCTCCCACTAATACTCTCATTTCCATCTAAATTAGAGTGCCCTAATCATTATTCTTAAGGGGAAAAATGGGAGGATTTCAAAACTTCGAATGATAATGTTTTTGTGGATTTTCGACACAATTCTTACCTTGAGAAATTGTAGATCGCCTAATTATCGTATTTAAAATTTGAGATTCAAATTTTTGAATACTTGAGTCGTTCAAACTTATTTATTTTCTTTTCAATTGTGCTGATAAAACAAGATTTCCGTGTTTAAAATTTGGGATTCGAAGTGTTAAAATCACGAATAGTTCGAGATTTTCCTTGTTTAAAATTTGAAATTCCACCATTTATTGCACCACATCAAGTGCCTATAATATATTCCCATGTTGCCCCCCGAGGCACAGTTCAACTGGTGGATCAATCAACATCGTCTTGCTTCCCGCGGTAGGGTGGAGAGTTCGATTCTTGGTGGGAACCTGCGGCCAAAAAATTTGGTATGGAGCAATCACTGTGGAGGGGGCTCTCTTGTGCGCAGAAGTGTACAGGCAATGGGGGGAACATGTGATCCAATTGAGGCATAACCCGCGATTTATCCCCTCCAAGGGTCCTGAGGGTTCAGGATTTGGTCTGGTGTAAGCTGGGATACCTGGATATAAAAAATATATATATATATATTCCCATGTTATGTTATCCTCGTGCATTGAAAAAAAAAAAAAATTCCATCACCCCTGAATCTACGGCAGATTTCGATGTCGTTTGATTAATTAGTCGGTGGTCTCCTACTTCCAGCCACTTCCCCTTTATTTCTTGGTCCCGCCGTCTCCCTAAAATTGGGGATAAAATCCCACTCTCTATCTCAAACGATCAATTATCAAATCATTCCTACATTATTTTGCACTACCAAACAAAAAGAAAAACAAAATAGTTCATCTTAGCGAGAGATATCACCCTTATGCGTGGATATATTTTATCGGTAGAGCTCGAATGTGATCTCTTTTGGTCGATGAATTGATCTTGAAGAAGAAATTTTAGTAGCAATAAAATGGATATAAGTCTTGCATTGAAAGTGAATAATTTTGTATCTTAAAAGTCTCAGATGTAAGAGTAATGTTATTCAGCCCGACAAGTATGACTGAATCGTAGATTGGTGCGGAGCCTACAAGCTGAATAGCATTATTCTACTATCTATCTGTTTTATAAAGATTTTCAACAAGTAGAATAAAAATTTGTGGATCTAATAAAATGTATGATTAAAATTCGTTAAAAGTTACGTAACCATACCAAACTACTGGTAAAGGTAAGCCATTTAGATTATTACACCTAGAGACGAGTGTCCCTTTCCCAATTTCCTGTTTCCTTGTTACTCCAGTTCCATGTGACATAAAGAAACAAAGTTCAGTTCACCAGTCTTTCTCCAAGAAACTCCATTGATTCCTCCAATTGTGTGCGTCTAATTATAATTCTTCAAGATATGAAGACTGGTGCAAAATTCATAGTCCTTCACCCGTCAATCCACAAACCCGGCGGCGGTGGCGCGTTAGTAGTAGCTCTATCTCACCGCACATGGCTTCTGGTTCTCTTGCTCTTTTTCGCCTTCACTTTTGGTTTCACTTTAATCACCATCAGGGACGCTACAAGAACTTCAAGACCCAATCGAAGCGCCACTGCCAAAGCCGCCACCGATGCTCCGTTACCTAGGCCAGTCTTTGACGCGCTCCTCCACTATGCGTCTATAAATGACACAGCCTCCGGTCGGATGTCATCGGCTGAGCTGAAGAGTATCTCCGCCGTGCTCCGCCGCTGTGCTGCCCCCTGTAATTTCCTTGTTTTCGGTATCGCCCACGAGACCCTTCTCTGGAACTCCCTCAACTACAACGGCCGTACAGTTATCGTGGACGAAAGCTCGTACTTAGTCTCCAAGCTTGAAGAAAAGCACCCCAGAATCGAAGCTTACGATGTGCAATTCACCACCAAAGTCAGCGAATTGCACCCTTTGATGGCGCATTACAGATTGCAGAAGAAAAACGAATGCAGGCCGGTGCAGAATCTCTTGTTTTCTGACTGTAAATTGGCAATAAACGATTTGCCAAACCACATATACGACGTCCCATGGGACATAATTCTGATAGACGGGCCACGCGGCTACTTTCCAGCAGCGCCAGGGAGGATGACGGCGATATTTACTGCCGGAGTTTTAGCAAGGAGTAAACGAGGCGGCGTGGACAAAACCCATGTGTTTGTGCACGAAATTGAGAGAGAAGTAGAGAAATTATGCAGTGATGAGTTTTTGTGCAGAGACAATCTGGTGGAGACTAAAGAGAATTTGGGGCATTTTGTGGTAAGCAAAATGACGGCGGCGCGTGGGTTCGAGTTCTGTCCAACTCCGATTCATCATTCTCACCGGAATTAAATTCATCTGACGCAAAAGATCGAGGAATTATCGTCCCTCTTTTTTTTTTTTCCTTCTAATTTTAGATATACATATACGATGGTGTGTAACTTATATAGGTTTTCAAGATCCAAATAGTAGACGCCAAACTCTGAGAAGTACAAGATCGATTTATCTATCTACTTTCATTAATATTAGATTGAATCGAACCACAAGCAATTTGTACTTCGAAAATTTGTAGTCTTTAATAGTTTGAAATTAAATATCTTCTCTTTCATCACAAGAAAAGAAATTGAGGGTCAAAAGAAGATATGGGAAAAAGAAAGAGGTTACAATTGCCTTGAAATTGGCTGTCGGCGATAAACTCTTACTTGCGGGGTAGGAAAGGCACATTTATTAGACTTGTATACTCATAAA